GTCCGCCCCCTCGCCGGTGGCGTGCATGGTGGCACAGACGTCGTCCAGGACGCTCATGATCCCGGGGGGGTTCTGGGTGAGGGAGAGGGAAGCCATGGGTGTCCAGAGGCTCCAGGCAGGGTCCAATCCTGCACCTGGCTGTGCTCAAGTGCCCCGCGCTGGTCAAAGCTGCTTCATGTTGAACCGCAGCTTAGGTTAAGGATGCAGAGCTGCTGCTCTCCCAGAGATGCTCCCTGGCAGGACCGGCTTCTGCCACCCGTCCTCGGCAGCACCCAGCCCATCCGGCACCCCCTTCCCCAGGCACCTCAGCTTCCCGAAAGAGCCTCCCTTGGAGGAAGGGACCCCACTCACCAGCTTGTTCTCTATCAGGTCGCACACCACCTTGTTGTTGAAGTACTGGATCTGGGTCCACTTGATCCCCTCCTGCACGTATTCCTCCTGGGGAAGCGCAGGGAGAGCTGCGTGGGCCCCTGACCCGTGGGATACGCTTCAGCGCCCCTGCTCCAGCCCTGGTGTTGGGACTGGGTGGCGGCAGGGGTGCAGGAATCAGGGTGCTGGGGCAGCCCCCCCGGACCTGCTCTGCCTTCAGGGTCAGCTCTATGAAGATCTGCTGCAGCTTCTCATTCACAAAGTTAATGCAGAATTGCTCAAAGCCGTTTTTCTGCAAAAGATGGAAGAGAAGATGGGGCTGAGTCGGCTTCTACTCCTCTCACCGCATTGCGGGGACCCCAAACAGCAGTGCCTGTGGGTGCTGCTCCAGGGGCCCCTTTTGGGGGCGTCAACTGCTAACAGCCCCCTGCTCCAGCCACTCTCCTTGCTGTGGGAGCAGGGAAGGACATTCCCCAGCCGGACTCCTACAGCAAAGCAGCACATACCTGGAATATTTCGAAGCCGTAGATGTCCAGCACCCCAATGCTGTACTCCTCGTACGGACAGCAGTGCCTGTGGGTGCTGCTCCAGGGGCCCCTTTTGGGGGCGTCAACTGCTAACAGCCCCCTGCTCCAGCCACTCTCCTTGCTGTGGGAGCAGGGAAGGACATTCCCCAGCCGGACTCCTACAGCAAAGCAGCACATACCTGGAATATTTCGAAGCCGTAGATGTCCAGCACCCCAATGCTGTACTCCTCGTACGGCTTCTGCATAGCCCGGTTGATAGACTGCAGGGAGAGACGGGATGAGCCACCTTCATCGGGGGCGTAGGGCGGCGGGGCCGGCTGCAGGCCAGAGCGGAGGCTGAGCTTGGCCCAGCCCGCTGGGGCCACACACCTCCACGAGAAAGTCGAAGACGCGGGCGTAGAGCCCCTTGGCCAGGGCGTCCCGGGTGTAGGCCGCCTGCTCCACGTTGAGGGTGACGGTGATGGACTCGGAGCGGCCGCCCCACTTGCTGTCCATTTTCCTGCTGGTGACCTTCTCGTTGAGGCGGTCCTGGTCGATCCCCAGCAGGTAGGCAGGGAAGGCCAGGGCTGGGCAG